GGAGCGTGTCAAAGTCCTTGGCCCCTAGCGCCTTAGTGACGCATTTCGATGCGGGATTTTGGCGAGTCGCTTGCAGTTGCGTCCCATGCGCTTCTAGCCACTTTAAGGGCTTATTAGGTGGGTCTGAGCCCGAACTTTGCCTTTAAAGCCCCTATAATCTATTGCTTGAAGCCGAACTCTGCGTGCGTTATACAAGAGGTTAGCTCCGAATATCTGCCTCTGATGAAATGCATTAGGGTCACTTGAAAATGTATTACTTAAAGGAATCTTCCACGGAAAAAGCTCCGCCTCCATTACCACAGAAAAACGATACCTTAGGCCCCTAGCCTCATGAGCATAGCAAAAAGAACGGAACATAAGCGTTAGTTTCGATAATACTAATCCTACACACAAGACAAAATGATCACTCTTTCCGTGGAAGATTCCTTTAAGGTATCGTTTTCTGTGGTAATGAGGGCGGAGCTTTTTCCGTGGAAGATTCCTTTAATGTGGTGGCTATTTCCGTTTGTTATAAATGGAGATTTACTGATGCAGCAGGTCCACATAATCCTCAACCCATCCCAAGTAATCCCGTCCCAACCAGTTTTTCTCGCTAAGGTGATAATGCTTAGCACGTCCTCGTTAAGAGCCTAATTGTCCATGGGCACCTGGTTGATTGCTATTTAATCATACAATGTCAGAGCGAATTCCTGTTGACTCCTCGTTGACACCTAGAATTGATCAACTCTGGAGCAAATATGCCACTGGGACGTTAACACTTCCGCCAAAAATTTCCCATACTTCCGTCGTATGCACGTCACTACCAGGAGGAACAGTCATATAAGCAGAATATGACTAAGGTATTGCAAAAGAAGTGCAAAGTGTTCGCTTTGTTACGCGCCACGCATAAGGCTTCTCTCTGAAACCGTGAAGGTCTTGAAAAAATTATTAGACACAACATCAGTGGGTGCCGGGGTGCCATTCAAATGCCTGTTGATTGATTTTCACATAGGGTCAATTTATCTCCATTACTCTTTGTTAGAGATTTGATGGCTTCATTAAGTTGGTTGTGTAACGAGTACTTGGCCATCGTGCCGTGAAGGCTTAACGATCTCTGAAAAGTTTAAAAGATATATAGGAAGATCCCACGAAACCAACATCTAGCTTTTTTTCCGGTCTAAATATTGAAATGTAAATTCCATGTGGCTCGATGGGGGAGAAGAAGATAATCGCATATCTGCTGTTGGGCTGTCATAGAATTGGGTTGAAATGTGCGCACGAATGAAAGACTTCCAGAACAAGGGAACTAGCTAGGAAAGGAGGAGATGGCAGGAAGGCAGGAAGACACTGGTTTACTAGCTTAGATGAGAAGATTGTTTTGAATCAATGGATTGTGGATGATGCTGGGATGGCGGGGAAGCAGGCTTGACGCTACAAGAGGAGAAGCTGGAGCATTCTGTGCGACTGCGGCCAGTCTGTATTACCAGCGAAGGCTTTTTACCACTCTGATTTGATGCCACGGTAGAACAAGTGGGACCTTACGCGGCAGTCACCACTGGTATCGATGAAGTAACAGCTTGCTCTCTGGCTGAGTTTACGTCTTCCAGACAAAAAGCTATAGTAATTCTCTCACAGATAGGTCAGAAGCAAATGTTCATGGTTTATCGCTCAGTTCCAGTTGGCTTGACCTGATAGGGCGTCAAATTCAGCTAAAGTCTGCCAAGAACACTCTCTAAAGGCCATCTATGACGTCTCTGTTTAGTTCCAAGTAGTCCAGTGCCGCTTCCTCTCAATGCATGCATCCGACTGAACCGAGAAAGTCCATATTAGCAAGCAATCTGTTAAAACTGCTAATCGATTACCTTCCATTTGCTGAGCTTTTCGGTTGCTTTTTTTTTGTACATTCATTCGGAGCTCCGCTGGGCTGTTTGGAGTCCATTTGGTACCTGTTATGTAGTAACCCCTCGTTGTTACCTCAGACTGAGACCATGGGCCTTTCTATGATTCCCACATTTACTGCTAGCCTTGAGTTGTGTCACTTGAACCATGTAGGATTGGTTCACAAAGTCATTACATGAGGCGAAGGTGAGAACACTGGATAACACATTGTTTTCTGGTATTTACTATGCCAACATTACCGTAGGCCATGGTAGGTGGCACGGAGCGTTAGCGCTCTAGCCACAGTTGTTCACTATCACCCATCCAGGGTTAATGGAAAACCCGGACAAGGGTTAATAGCCGAAACGAACCGACTATTTTGTTATAATGGTTTTACTTTCCTTTAATGGAACTTAAGCGCCCAAATATTTTCGTATTACTATTGGTGACGGGCTTGAAGCTGGCTAGAAGGAAGTCGATGCCACACTCAAATTGTTGGACCGAATCCCTGCAGAAAAAGTGAAGTCAGCTAGGCCTTATAAAACTCTGTGAATCTTCATTTAGTACCAATTTCTCCTCAGAAGACTAATTCGAATAACAGAAGACTTTTGAACCTCGCATCTTCTCCACGATGGATGTATATTTGCTGATGCGAATTCTTAAAGGGATTTGAGACGTGGCCCGTATCTTTTGGAAAATGACTTAATTGCCAAACAGGCTTTTCTAATAATCAATCGATAGCGAAAGTAAGGAATCGTTCGCTACCGGAAATAGTTTTTTGGTGTCCAAAGCTTACTACCCGGCTTGGCTCAGTGTCGTGCACAAGCTTTTAATGCGCCATGCTCTCGGTATTCAGAAAAAACGGTAACTCATCTTATGACCAACGGTTAACATTAATAGACTACCGTAACTCAGGAACATTAGACAAATAAAATTTGATTATGAGATAGAATTTGGGCTAGTACTTTCGAGTTAACTCATAGCATCCTACTAAGATTACTCCATCAGTACAGGTGATTAGCTCCTCTTCAGTTCGTAGACCGATAGGAAAACAACACCTGAGAGCGTCCAACAACAACAGTAACCATTCCCTGAATTAGAACACTATCTTTTACATATTAAATTTTAACGAAAAGAACTATTGAATTAGGAATTGAACTTATTCCTAAAAGGTAGGAGAAATAACTTGAGTCTGCAACTCATTGCGGGAAAATAGCTCAGGAATGTCTTTTTTCTCGTCCTCCAGTGAAGGTCAGATACACTGCAAATGATTTCGTTGATCTCAATCACTCTAACTAGCCGTTTTTTCAGGATTTCAATTCATGCTATAGCTAGTCTGTTTGTTGTTTCCATGGAGACAAATTTGCAGACTTAATTTTGTTTATTAATAGATATCCTGTGAACAATCCCTCCCGGCGAACTCAGAATTTCGAAGTCAAGGCGAGTGTCCAACTCGGCAGAATTTTGAGCTTAAGTCCACTTCCTACTCTTTTTGGTCGATTGTACACTTCTGTCTTCATCCCAAAAGGTTTCCTTATCCACTTCTAAATCGATCTGCCCTTCCTTTTGCGTCGCGCCGAGGAAGCTGTTCATTATGCGTTATCAGTTTCTCATTCAGAGGCTAATCCCCCTGTACTGAATAGGAAGTATTAATCTTCAGAATACAAACCAACAGCTGGTCGCATGCACTGCCTGCAATCATCTCTTTGCCTATCGATTTACCAACTACCAACTACTAACTACTATGCTATGTGTACTACGAGTAGTTGAAGATAACTATGATTAATAGTGAATCTGTAATTGCTACATAAGTTCTGCAGCATATCATATGCAAGTTCTAATAAAATTGCTTATTTCATATTTTATATACTACAAGTTCTGTACAAGTAATACGCTGTTTTCGGTAGCTGCGGTACAATACTGTGTAAGATTTAAGAAATAATAAGTTTTCAAAAAGGTAGCATTTGTCACAAGAGATGCAAACTTACCTACCATAAGCATATAACTGGTCCCGTTGCAGTAGTGGGACTCCTTGACAGCAACTGCTGCTAATTATTGCAAAAAAAATAGAATTTTGATTCTGTAAGCTATGTTTGGGAGTGGCTAATGACAGGACACTGAGGAGCAGTGCTATAATACTGACATGCATTCCAATCACTGCCGAATGCTCTACCGCTTGGTAGCTGCAGTGACTCAAGGAACTCCTAGCAATTTTATGATTCCTGGCTTCAAGCCTCGCCCAGCCGAGAAGAATCGTATATGGTCACAAAGCAGTGTTGTGGCGTATTTGACCCACCTAGATGAGCTACGCATTTGCCGTCGTAGGCGAAATTGACTGCATCCAGTCCTCTACTTCGGCACGTGACAGTTTCATCATTCATCCCCTCAAATCAGTGTTTCACTAGCTTATCCCTCAGGGGAAGGTGGGGCAGACTGTTCTATCCTATGCTTCGTTCAGTGCCACACGACCTGGATTCCGCCACTGCTCCCTCTTCTTCCACCCTTACTCTATGCTAAATTTAATTTAACTTCTGCATTCTTGATGTAGTTGACTGGTCTATTCTAGAGACCCGTGTAATATCAGGATTTGAAGCAAATGGGATCATTTCGTTTCCATCCTAGCCATGGCTTATTCTTCTCATTCCAGCCAACTTGTACCGCCGCTTGACTTCCAGGCTGTGGAAAAATCCCCGTTGCATTCATCGGCTCATCGCTATCGTATTCAAACCGCAAAACCGCCCGATTTACGACCCTCATCACTCGGACCGGTAGTGGTCAATATCCCGGACAACACCAGATTCCCTAAGTCCTCTTAACCACGCTTCAAGTCTACACATATTCATGATATCGCATTCTCGTCAGATGCATCCCATTACTCATGTAAGGGATCCTATCTGAACACCGGCAAGCCGAATCTTGAAAAACGCAAATTTCAAGCGAGAGCGTGACATCTATTGCTGAACGAACCATCCCTGTGGTTGCGATGAACTTAGCCCTATCCTTCCGACTAATCTGACAGATCCCTTGAAAGCCAGGATAACATGCGTTGTAAATTGGCTCATTCAAAACGGTCCTCTGCTCGGCGGCCTGTAGACAGGCCTCCAGTCGCGCTTTAGAGAAGCACTGTTGTTGCTTTTCTGGCGATGTCAGCCCATCTGCCGAACGACCGACTCCGAGCTTTGCCGGTAAGTGCCAGCAGGACCATGATGAATTTTCGTTGCAAAAATGCGCCTTGACTCTCGTACTAGGCGCTTGTTTTGGCTAAATGCTTACCTCTTGGATACCGTACCTACTTCAGTCCAAGTGGAAAAAAATAAAGATGAGGAGATCGACTAAACTGCTCTCTTTCTTGTCTACGCTGGGGTTGCGCACGCACATTCGCTCTATCGAAATAGGTATAGCGATGATTCAAGCTGTTCTGGCATCTATGAGATGTTAGCGAACCGATCCCGTCACATGTCATTTTTTGACAAGCTTATTTAAATCAGCAAAAAAAACAAAAAAAAACAAAAAAAAAAACATAGGCGGAGTCAGCTGCTGGGCCTGATAGGGCTTAAACCGATTGACCCGACAAACAATGCTCGACATTTTTCCTTACCGGAATGAATCATGAGCGTGACAGCTGCGGTTAGAGCTGGCTACTTTCACTAAATTCCATCATCCCTCTGTCGGATGCAACGGGGTTGGATCTGCCAAATCTGTGATATATTTTATAATTCTTGCATTGAATCCGCTTCGTGGAAAATGCGGAAACGCAGTGCGAAGCACGTCTTCGGCGATTTTTGTGGGAAGAATTCGATCCATCGAATCATCTTAAGCTTTTGCAAATGATCGTAGCTTTGCAATATTGGGTCGTTCACGCATTAACGATTATGTGGGGCGAAAAGCCAATTTTCGAAGCCGAATGAACACCTACCAAGGTGCACGTGATAGGCCTTATCACTTTCGAAAGTTCAATCCGATATTGACTTTCTTTATGGGCCGTTGTAGCTAGTAATCAAGTTGAAGGCATCAAGATATTTTACTGATCTTTATTCTTTGAGTGTTTCTGGGTTCCCTTTCATATTGTCGAATGGAACCTTTATGTATAAGTAATGTTATTGATAGATTAGAATTAGGACTACGATCGTTATGTAGAATATGTTAGGCAGGGGCTCTATATTTGCTTCTCGGCCGATCTTTTTAGTTTATGGTCACGCAGTCAACGGCTTCGTCCGGAGTTGGCTTCATAGGAAAAATCGAGTTTATTTCACAAGACATCGCCGTGCACGTTACGTTTCGTGATATGTATGCGCGTCGTGTTTGATTTTCTTTTGAAAGGCCCTCGAATAAACATTCTTGTTCGAATCGCGCTAATTTCATCATCAGTGTTGAAGTCGTTTTATAAGGGACCGAAATGATGATGCTCGCTTATGGAATGTTCAGTAAGCTGGAGAGTGGTTAACATTACCGAGGTACACGGCGATTTTATTTCTAATTTTCTCCGACTTTTATTGCCTTCCAAAAAGCGAAACAGGCCAGGCTGAGCCATGTGCCCCAGAAAGATTTTTGCATTATAAAAAAGCAAAAAAACCTTCTTTTCAGCGATCAGCGCGGGATGCTCTGGTCCCTTATGGAGGGGGAAGCTGAGGGAGGGATGTGAGTCTATTCTACGTCTCTTCAAGGGGAGGGGGTGTAAATACTTGCTTTCCTGACTATAGCATATCATATGTACTATGACTATGCACTAAAACAACAAAAGTCCAAAATATCCGTAGCAATTTGAAATTCTGAAATCTTTCATATTTTTCTACTTCTGAAAAATTCTCAAGGGTTCTGTTTTCTCCTCCATGCAGGCTGACCGAGTTTAACTCGATCTCTTCCCTTACACTTCTCCTACTGCCTAACGCATGGTCAATCACGTCGATTAGTTTGAGTTCATAGAACGTGAACTAACTCTGGGGTGCGGTCTCGACCTGTTCATTTTAGGCGGGGGGGGGCTCAACTGGAACGCCCGGTAGAAGCACGGCTTGCTGGAACAGAACATGTGAACACGACACTTTAATTTTCTTTTTTCTTTTGTAATCTGTGGATTGAGTTGAGTCAGTGTTTGAGAGGATTAGTCGTTAATACATCTGCCTTCTGGTGACAATATAGTATCATGGTTTTATCTTAAATGATTATGCACTAAAACAACAAAAGTCCAAAATATCCGTAGCAATCTGAAATTCTGAAATCTTTCATATTTTTCTACTTCTGAAAAAATTCTCAAGAATTCTCATTTTTCTCCTCCATGCAGGCTGACCGAGTTTAACCTTATTATCCTTCCTTCCAACTTTTACAGAATACGGCTGTCTAAATCATTAGAGAGTTATACAACTTGAATGAAGTCAGGGCGTCTCGCTATTCGTTGGGAGCGCGGGTTTGGCGTCACGTACGAAAGCTCCATTAGGTAAGTCCAAAAGCACGCGCCACTTTGCATGAATGGTGACATATTAACGATACAAATTTCTTTTTTTTCTTATTTCTTGTAGTAATAAGGCGCAGGCATGACGATGGATGTATGATTGGAGCTTAACCAGGAAGGTCTTTCAGGGCGTGACGAGCTTTTTGAAAACGGTCTTTTGCATGATATAGGGGCAGATGCGGGGACCACAGAACCATGTTTAATTTTTCCTGAACGGCCCTCTGAATACCAGAAAAGGGGGTCCCTAGTTCGATTCCTCTTGGTGACAAATTTTTGCATTTCGAGTTGACGTTCCAAAATTATTGCGCAATAATGGTAGAGTATCAGACCAATGACAGACACTTTTTCAGAACTCCATTTTGCGCGGAATTTATGGAACGTCAACTCGAAATGCAAAAATTTGTCACCAAGAGGAATCGAACTAGGGACCCCCTTTTCTGGTATTCAGAGGGCCGTTCAGGAAAAATTAAACATGGTTCTGTGGTCCCCGCATCTGCCCCTATATCATGCAAAAGACCGTTTTCAAAAAGCTCGTCACGCCCTGAAAGACCTTCCTGGTTAGTTAGCGGCATGATAGAAGAAGGGCAACGAAGAATAGGAAGAAGGACATGTCTGTGCACTTTTTCTTCTGAGGCGGTTTCCTTTTCACTTCCTGCTCATTAGAGCTTGTTATCAGTAGAATGTTCTTGTTCAGATTCATAGGCATAAGAAGAAAATTCTGAGGTCCTTCTCTCATTTGATTGTTCCTCCGAAACTTTATGGACTAGGTTCTGAGCGCTAGATCAAACAAAAAGTGAGCTCTGATCCTGTCCCGAGTTATCTGAACAGCCCACCTGAGTGACACATAAACAGCTTATGGCGCCTCCAAAAACCCCGACTTCTTTTTGGCCTAAGCCAGGTGACGCTGAAATATGCTGCTGTGTACCGCTGAGTAGCCCATAGGAATTCGTATATATCCACGAGAAGGCTGTGGGGGTGCACTGGACACATGCCATCAATTGAGGTAATAAGAAGTTAGTCTCCAATACGTAATGTTAATTAATTTATTAGAGGCACGTTGACCATGTCCCTCCTCCCGGACGGGGGCGTGGCGTAGGCGGGCGCGCTACGACGGACGGCCCTACCGCAGTTGAACGGTCAAGTGGCTGCCGTAGAGGGCATCATCGCTGATCTCAACGGACTCATTTGGAAACTTCGACGGCACCGTCACTTTTTGCTGGTCTTACTGTAGTACAGTACTATTTATCTACCGTATCTCAATCACTTTTGCTGAATAATTTTGTCGTTTCTGTATGTGTCTCTTCCGTCCTCTACACATGACAATATCTGGTTGGGAATATCATATGATAATGACAAATACCCTTCAGGATGCTCTCAAAGTGGTATTTATTGGTTACTGTATTCACAACGTCCGCAGCCGCCAAGAAACTTCCCGATATTTACTGGAATTCCACCAATTCGCTGTGAGTGCCGTGTTTTTCATGGCCATGGGATTTTCCTTTTTATTACTTATTTGTTGTTTTCTCAGTACTTTTTATTACACAATATTTTGTTTTGCTGCACAAAAATTTGTCTACCGTATTCGGAAATGATTTCTATCTTTATTATCGCGCTTTCTCTCTGTGCTGAGTAACACGTTAGCGCGAACGCGACAGGGTGGGAGAGTTGTGTACTCTCGTAACGAAGCGGCATGTCCTTAACAAGTAGCCGGCACTGCGGGAGGTTAATAACCTGGACCCATGCCAAATATGGCAGCAGCAGATCGTGTGCCGCAGCTAAAGCAGCGGTATCGCTCTTTGTGAATGTTAATCCTACACAGATGACGGATATCGTTTTGGGGATTTGGGACGCGGTTTTTTCCCTAGCAAGGAGCATCGATCTTTCGAGACCTATCAGCTGCCTAGGTGAGGTAGCAGTTACCGATCAATCGGAGAAATCTAGCAAAGTGACTAAGGCGTGTGTTGGGCGGCCGTTCTAGGCTATTTGTACCTACTAAGTAGGGTGAATTCCTATACAGTCCCTTTTTTCACCCTTTGAGGTAATTTCGCGATGAGCTTCAAAGGAGTGAGGAGGTAAATGGGAGCAAAGGCAGAAAAAAGCCAAGCAGGAGCGTTAAAAGTTACACAGATTGGCGCTTATGAGCTCTAGGGGTGGTTGTGGGCTTACACCGGGAAATGAGGCCTGAGTGAGCCTTTTCTCGACAGTCATTAGCGCATGGCGGTGAAGAGCATGAAGTTAAGTCATGTGAGGTTGATGACGCTTCTAATGAGGGCGCTTCACATTTGCTTCCAAACAAGCCAGTGCAACCTATTCATATCTATATATACCCCCTGATTAGCCGTCAATTTAAACTATTCCGCTTGATGAACTTTATTTTTCGAGTTTTTTTTTATCCGAACCCAAAAACGACGCACACGACGTGGACTAGGCAAACTGATAAACAGAACAATGCTAATGTAATTTTTTAGCTGAGTCACCACAGAGCATTTACTAGGTTTCCACTGTTACTTAGGTAGCTCCTAGATCAAGTGAATCATTGCATTTAAAGGCACAACCCAGGCAGAGTCGTGTGAACGCTTCCCTTCGGTCTGTAGTATAGACCCCTAGAGGACAATCACAAATGTGGCGTTCCCGTGCACGGAAACCAACCGACAAGAGCGCTTGGGCCTTGCAAAGTAAGCTGCTGAAGCTGCAGATTTTTTTCTCTTATCAGGCTGTTGTCTGGCGCTCTCTCGCCTCATACTCTCCTCTCCGCGCTTAGTCTCTCATTCCCTTAGCACAGCCGATTAGGAAGGTGAGTGAGCCCTTAACCTAAGCGTTTTCGACGGATTCTTTTCCTTTTTTCTTTACTGCCGGCCCATTTCGCACCAATACATTCGCATTCGTGTGCAAGAGCCACACCAATGTGATCCTGGGGCATGCCTTTAGACGCTGTGAAAGCAATGCCAATTTCGATAATTCCAATTTTCTGTTTGTTCTTCGTTTCATCATGGTGTAATGATGCTTGAATTGTGTTTAGAAAAAATATGATAGATGTGACCAAAATCATTACGATAATATCAGATAAGAGCGAAAATATTAGAGTATGTGACATATACGGAGGAAAATAGCGCGAAAGCGAGAAAATCTGTTGGTAGCCGCTTTAGCCTCTTTCGCCCTAGATATTGCATGCTCAATAATTTGGACGTTGCTGGCTAATTTCCTATCACAGTCGATTCCAATTTGGAAACCAGACAAATTTCTCAGCCACAAAAAGCTTACCCGTCAGAAGGTATCTGACTTAGAAGCCGGCGTCAGCTTTAGGTTTCCGCCAGAACAGAATGAGTAGTTTGGGCTTGTGGGGACTCGCAGAAGGCTGTGTTATTAGGAATGCAAGCTAATTTTTATGTGGCGTCCCCTAAAATTACAGAATATAGCCCCTGGATGAAAACTACCTGACGTCTAATAAAGCTTTACGAATCACCCCCTAACGCCCTCGCCATGAGCCCCTATGCTCTTAACTCAGGTGCCCAAGTTATCTTCGATAGGACCCCCCCCCCAATCGTTGGGGCTTTTTATAATCCACAATTCATTCGTGCAGTATCAATTTTGCTGTGCAGAAGAATTTTTGAGGCCTTTTTTTGGGGCTTCTCCCAAAAATTCCTGCACCTGAGCATTTTTCTAAGAATTGTTCAGAGTTTCAATCGATTCCGTTGAAAGCGCCACATTTGTGAGCGTTTAGGATGCGCTCATTAAAAGACCACCACAAATTGCCGCGGTCACACCTGGTCTACAATTAGACCAAGCGCACATCCATGTGTACTAATGAACCGGAAACAAAGAGTGTCTCGGCTTATTAGATGATGGTGGGAGAATTCGTCCCAACTGTCCACACCTTGAAATATCGACCCATGGAAACTATCTTTTCC